AAAAAAAGGATGAGAATATACAGTTCAGTTATGGACTAGTAGTTAATAAGCATCTGCAGCAGTAGAAGAAGAGCTCTTACAGGTTGATTTTTAGTAATATCTGGAAATTTAATATTTTTTAGAGGCTCTCTTGATATACCTTCTTTTTGTGGAATTTGATGCCTTACTATAGTGAGCTTCTTCACATAAGTCATTCTTCTTGCCAAGGCATAGAAATACTTTTGGAAGAAATAAATACTCCAGATTGTTTCCTAAAATTGAGCTCCAGGTTTCTGCCACAACCTCAGCTTGCGCTTATTTTCATAAATCCTTGCATCAGAAAGCAGTGTTACTGTGTTTGTTCATGATGCTGTTAGGGACTGCAATTTTGTTTTGTAGATACTACTCTTTTTGAGGGAAGCAATATCAAATCTTCATACAAGGATGCATAAAAATTATTATGAAAGCTATCAGAGGGCTTTCTTCTGCAAAATACTGGCATCCAGTTTCCTCAGACTCGTTCTTTAAAATCCATTCTGTTTATATATTTGCAACCTATTAATATTAAAGAGTTATTTCATGATTATGAAATCCATTTGCAGCAGAATATTTTGCGTTCTGGGGGCAAAAAGAGGTCATTTCACCATCTAGAAAATTGCAGTACATTGTTCTGTCCTATATTCTTAATCTCCTGTTATATAAACAATTTTATGTATTCTCCAATTCATTTTGCATCTGAATCTCTGATTAAGATTGATCCTGAGCTACTTCCCCTGTTGTCTCTGCTTTGCCCTAGTGTCTAGCAAGCATTAAGTCAAAATTACATTCTTCCTAGCTATCTAGGGTGTTGAATTTGCTTTAGCTGGTAGGAACAGCTGTAGTTTCAGGCTACTGAAAAACTGTCAGTTGGGCATTGGCATTGAATTAGCATGATTGTGTTTCAGTAAATGTGTTCATAGTATGTCAGCCTTGTTAGTTTCACAAGTAGCAAGCTTACATACCTAAATACAAGGTTTACCCAGACAGAGAGGTGTTTAGATTCTGTCCTTTAAAAAAACAAGATTGGTTCCATTCTATACAATTCCTTCATTTTACAAACATACAAAAGTCAGACTTCAGGCAAGGGTGAGAGGGAGAGTGAAACCTCAATCTTCATTATTGGTGATTCCCTCCCTTCTCTCATAATTTTGATGCCTTTTTCCTTTGATCAATTTCAGTGATAATTTTTTTGTTTGTTTGTTACATCTATAGAATCCCTTTTTAATCATGTATCTCCATAATATAAAAAATAATATTAACGTAGGGAAAAAAAAGGTGAAAAAATTAATTTAAGTTCATATGTTGTAAAGCCCCAAGTGAGAGTATGAGAAATACATTGTTAGTTAGAAGCTGGGGGGGGGGGGGAAAATTGCCAGTATGGGTCAGACACAGCACAGTTCAATTTACTACTTAGAGATAATATACAGCTTGGTATGTAGCTTAGCTAGAGTTCCAAAAGTGTATGCAAAGCAGATTTTGCTCTGCTTTTATTCTGTAGATTCTGATTTTATTAATCAAATATGATAGATTAACTGTTTGACTTATAGTTTCAAAGATGAAGAAGCTTTTTCTCATATCTCTGAATGAGGCCATGCTGCCTGATACAGTAGTGCGAGCTATACACCTGACTTTTATTTGTGCATAGGTGTACTTTTCAAAATTCATGCCTAAGTTTGAGACTCATTGTAAAGCTGAGGTACATCTACATCATTCCTTTCAGCGTCATACTTGTACAAAGGACACAGCACCTTACCAATAATAGGAAATATATTTCATTATTTGTCAAAATTGCTTCATTTCATGCTTTTTTGAAAGAAGACTGATTTTCAGAATTTTTCTGGTATTCCATAAGTGCAGTGAAAAATAGGATTTTTTTTTTTCTGCATGTACAGTAACTTTCCCCCCTCCCCGTTCATATCCATGATCTTAATCTTTTTGATACCTGAAGAATGTAAGAGTGTAGCATAAAAGATTAATGTGTGTTTGGAGTTAACTGATGTAACAACTACCTTGTATTTGGCAGTGAGATGGATTCATCTCGTGGTTAAAACACTGGCAGTATTTTTACTTTCTTCATGCAACTTGAAGTCTGCATTCATGTAATTACATATGGCCAAGCAGTATTCCTTTTGTATAAGAGTAAATCTGAAGTAATTTCACTTTTCATCAGTATTACAGTAATTTTACACCAGTATGATGGAAATAAGGATATAGTCAATAGTAATTTGACAGCTTTTTTAAAAAATATTTTTTTTTCAGCACTTTCAAGTTGCAACTCGGAAAAGTACTGTCAGAAATAACTTTTCTTACAATATGTCTAATTTGTTCTTATTAAGTTAGCATGTGCTGGAAGAGAACAGAGAAGTCAGTCTCTTTTACAGGAAGGGATGAAGTTTTACTCCGATTTCTGTGGATTTGGCCATTGCATTTAATATGTTACATTTTAAGCTTTCCTGACTGCACTTCCAGCTTGCCTTCCAGCATCTCTCACTGTCCTCATATTGCTTTTATTTTCATCAGCTTTTCCACTTCTGAAAGGTGATCAGCCTTAAAATATTAAAATAGAAGAACTATTGTAAGTGCATCTTTTTTTTGAAGCATTACTCATATAATATAATGTTTTAGATTTCTGCATCTCCCAAGTTTTCATCATACCTTAGTTCAGATGCTGAAGAAACTTACAGCCATATTGTAGTGTTCACATATTTGCTGCCTGGCACAAGTGCAGCCAATAATTTAAGGGGATCAGCATTTCCTGCTGTAGCATACTTCCTTCAGGTACTGCTAGTTTAACTGCACTTTACTTTTTTATCCCATTTTCTTATTCTCTGTGTTATGTTTGAACTGCATTTTTGGAGTGTTTTAGTCTGAACATGTAGACGTTTTTTGGTTTGTTGATTTTTATTTTTTTTTATACTCATATGTGTTTTGTACTTCAGTCTGTCTTCTTTCATTAAGCTGACTGGTGAATTTGTGTGTATATCGGTGTGAAAAAGCATTCAAAAGGAGCTGTGTATTTGCATGAACTCAGTATCCAGACATTACATGTAATAGATTGCAATTGTATTTTCCTTCTGGAATTCCCACTTTACTGGTTCTGAATATGTACATATAAAAAAATCCTTAAGTTGCCTCAAGAAACAGTTACTTGACTTACCTGAAAATGGCTTCATGCACGTGAATACAAATGCACAATGAGATATCAGCATATCAGTGAAGTCTCTGGAACATTTCTTTTGATGGTGAAATCATTGTTACCTCTTAGTAGTCTTTCAGACCTGCTGCCGCTACAGCAGACTGCACTAAGTTCTGGTTCTTTTAGTGAATGATAGATAAATTTTTTAACTAAGTTCCAGAGGCCAGATGCTATTCTTGTTTGTGCTTGTCCAAAGCCATGCAGGCCGTTGGCTTTCAGAAGGTGGGTATGAAGGCAGAACTTGAAGAGTTTTTCATGTTCAGAATGATGCGTGAACTAGAACCCTGCATGACCGATGAGCTTGACAGGGCTAGCATTTGTGAAAAGCATTATTTCAGTCACAAACTAAGTGCCAGAAACCATTGAAACTATGTAGGTGCTGAATTATACAATAAAATTTCTGCAGATTTTCTTCATAATATGGAAGTTAGTAAACAATAGAACAAAATTCTCTGGTAACCTGGGAATAAGAATTTGATGTGACTTAATTTGAAGTACTTTGAATTAACCATACAGTAAAAATAAATCAAAATTATTCTTACTCCTGTTCCCAGCATAGGCAGATGAAAAGGTTTAACAAAATCAGTGACTAGCAAATTTAGAACAAATGGAAGTAATCACTATTCCAGCAGTATATTTTCAAATTATCTAATTCACTGTTTTGTGTCATTAAATTAAATGTCTGTATTTTAGAATACCTGAGATAATTTTATGATCGTCAATAACATTTGCATTTTTGTTAGCCATGACAACAGTTATGAGGATAGTTCCCATATGTGATATAACACAGTTATCCATAGAATTTATGAAAGTAATTATTCTATCTAGCAAGTTTTGTAATGTCTTTTGGTGGCAAGATACCGATAGTCTTGTCTTTTTTAGTATGGTGGAGCTTATTTCCCAGACTTAGTTATCCTAGCTCATGTCCCTTCATTTTTTTTCGTATGGGCCACTTATTTGTCATTTACAAAATAGTGACAATATTTTGATGTGGCCTCCATTTTGGCAAAAGGAGAAAAAGTTGTATGTCATGACACTGATAAGGCTGTTGACATGATGTTTTAATATATGAAGTGGAGAAACACAGCCGACTCAATCACCATTAGATTAATGAAACCAATGAAAACCAGACTAGAAAAAATGAAAAGGGGCTTAGGAACAGCCTTCAACATGGCATTATGCAAGGGCTTGAGATAAACAAACCATTTCTAACTTTGAGGAGATTTATGAACTGTAACAGGTTATCTGAGGATGTTGTAGAAACTGTTTCGTGAACATGTTAGACCAGGCAACTCCCAAAAACTAAGTATATACTTAGTCCAGCTTCAAAGTAGGGGACTAGGTTAAATGACATGTGGATTTCCTGTCTAGCCCTACATTTCCGTGGGCTTATTCTCTTTATTTTTGAGTCTTGCTCTTAGTTTTTTGCAGAATTACGTATAGGTGCTTTGATTTACCTGTTTTAGGCGGAGCAGGTTAATTTTTAGAGGAGTCTACACAATTTGAAATTGAACTTTTAAATAGCTGTCTATATATCAATTTTCTAACTATAGCACCAGAACAGATTATCTTCACATTAAAGCAGAAAAGGCAAAAATGCTATCTATTAATTAGCATATTACTAAGTTACCTTGTAATTCATGAATGCTAGTTCTTTTGCCATGCATATTGCAAGGTATGAAATGTAATCAGTGAAGAACAAATAACTTTTTGGTCCTTGAGATACTTGCAGAAGTAATGGAGTTGGAGTAGTATGGTAAATATTCTGTTTATTTTGCTTCTACAGAAATGTATCTTCTGCAGACAGAGAATTAAGAAAATCTCTGGTGCCTGCATTCAGTGTTCATATGGACGCTGCCCAGCCTCCTTCCATGTTACCTGTGCCCATGCTGCAGGAGTGCTGATGGAACCTGATGACTGGCCATATGTTGTCTACATCACGTGTTTCAGGCACAAGATCAACCAAAATGTGGTAAGGCATTTGTTTCCTTGTTTGTTAAAAAATGGAATTGCAGATTTAAAGCATGTTTCCAGAGAAAATGGAAGAAAGGATCCACACTGTGTATTATAATAGCTCCATCTATCATATTTCCATACATAGCAAACTGTTATATCTTGAATGTTTTTCCTTATGCTGTTACCTGGGAGAAATTACACTTGATATGCCTAATGCATTTTTGCATTAGAGTCATTGAATGTATTGTTTTGACAGCAAGAACAGATCTTTGAGCTCTCTGTTTTGTTAACTTGGGGTGTATTACAAACACCCAGATCACAGCATCTTGCAAATACTCACAGATACTGTGAAAGAAAGGATATGGTGTATATTTAAGTTCTTTGTTCTGCAGCCAAATAGTGTCTTGCAAGTATCCAGTTATAATTTTTCTGTCATCTGGCAAAGTAACACTGGTATGTCATGAAAATTCATGTTATTACTGTGCCTTTTTAGTTCTACTTTGTGCTGAGGAGAAACTTTTAATTTTAAATGAAACACATGAAGAATTATTTTAATGTCTTTTATTTGAATGAATTCTTATTATCTCAGTTAAGAAAGAACTCTTGCCATTTATCTTGGGCTTTTAAAACTGTGTTTTGTTTCCTAGCAAACTAGAAAGACTTAATGTAGTCTTATTAATGAAATAGCTTGGCAAGTTGGTCAAGTTGAGAATTTTGACATTGCAAAATTTTATCTCCTTTTTACATTAGAAGTGAAAGAAATAAACCCATATAATGTATGTTTTACTTTCAAGAGGTTGTCAGTGAATCCTTGGTCTTAATGACAAGACTACTGAAGAGTAAGATTTTCTTTCAAGTGTGGTAAAAAGTCCCAACTAGACTAATTGGTCCTGAGTGCTCAATCTGCTGGTGGTTCTTAAAAAGGGAAACAAATTGTGTGTCCTTGTTTAAAACTACCACAGAACTGTTAAGCCTTTTAAAGATTTTGGTTTCCAAAATGAATTAACATGTGAAACCAGTACACATCATGTGGTTTTAGTTTCTTCAAACACTTTTCAAGAAAATGAGTTTGGTTTGAAAAAACCTTAAACCTCTATCTGTACAGGCAACTTAAGATACTTTTCTTTACTTTCTTGGAACACACTATCATGGTTGAAAATTACTAGGTTAAAATCATGGCCAGTAAAAATAGGGCTGTTCTACCAAAATATTTTCTAGTATTTGTTTGGGATAAGTCTTTATACTCTAGGTAGTGGGATTTGCATCATTAGCTGGGAAATCATTCCCTGATCAATAGGACTTTCTGTGTAATACTTTCTTCTATTCCTACTTCATATGTATATTGCAGCTGCTTCCTCAGCTCCTTAACTTTTCCACCTTCCTCTAATATATCTGTCTCTGATGCTGGAGTCCTCTTATGCTGTTAAACAATGCATGTGATTTTTTTCACCTTATTCTCTTTTATGATACTAAATGGTAAATGTGCTGAAGTTTTGCATTATTTCTTCTGTGTTTATACAGCACTTAATATAGTCATATATCTGTCCTAAACAGGACATTTTCTGGTGTTTCTGTGTTCATGTTAGTTATGAATAGAAACACCTACAAGATATTAATGAAAACCAGGTAGGTTGTTTAAGTAGAATTTATACTTTCAATCTAATATAAAACAGTGCAGACTTTGGCGCTTAACTTTCTTTGTGTACACTTTCTCTGGAACAGAAAATAAATTATTAAATGGCTATTATTTTGAATGGTAAGAAACAAAAAATGGTCATCTGAAAAAACCACAATAGTAATAGAGTGACATGAAATCCCATAAAATCCATTTTTTCTTACTGATTTTCTTGACCCATATTAAGTAGCATCAAAGAAAAAAGCCACCAACTATGGAGAAACAGGAATTTGTGTGGCTACTATTTAAGAGATTGTGTGAAGGATGTTGGAATGAGACTATCACAACCTTTCCTGAAACTCAGCACCAACATTTTTGAAAAAAATTCTGTATTATTAGCTTTTTTCCTGTGGCTTAAATCAAAATCAGATTTGCAGAAGAGAAAGAAAAATTATGCTTTTTTGTTTTTCATTGGGCCAAAACTTGGAAAGATCAGATATTTTGTTACAGAGTCTTTTTCTGTGAAATTCTTAACTCACTCCTGAGACAAAGGAGATTGCCATATGTTTGTATATGCTTGGTTTTATACTCTGTCTTGTGGATAATTAATCTAATCACATCTTTAAGCCTTTGGAAGTTTTTTCACCATTGGTTTTCTTGTTGTACTTTTCTTAGCTATTAGCTATTCCTTCATGCAGAAATTACATTGCTCTTCACCATTAGGCATAGCAATGTATCTTACTTCTAATGAACTTTTTTTGTTTGTCTGTTGTTTTAAATTCCTTGCTTGAAAGCAGAACAGGGGAATCATGCAGACTGAAATATTATACTCACTTTGCAAATTTTTACAGGAATCAAATAGATTGTCTTGTCAGCAAGAAAAAAAATCTCTTCTAGCAGTTGAAAACATTGTACATAAAGCAAGGACACTATTATTTCTCCTCGTTTCAAGAAAACAAAATTAAAATTGTCTGTTTTTTCACTAATATAGCCTCTAGATACTGTGCCAAATGCTCTGTGGATACCTGTGATTGCTACTTTCTTCAAGTTTAAAAAAAATACCAAACAACCCAAAACTCAACAACCAAAGGATCGCTTCTGGGCATTAGGAAAAATTTTGACATATATCTGTAGTAGTATTTAACATGTAAATCAATGAGAGTGCTCAGCAGAAAACCTACCTGTGTACAGATAAATGTGTATTATTACTGGTATTAGTGTATCTTTTCACCTCAGGCAAGGGCTCATTGCAATGATGAGGTGGAGTATGCATCCGAATTATTATGGCTGTGATCTCAAGCAAATTGTGTTCAAATTATTCATCAGTATGCTTTCACAAGTCTTTTTCACTGGGGATCAGATTCTCTATTGTCTCCAGGATTTTTTCCTAGAGTACTATTTTAATGTCAACCATAGAAAATACTGGTGGGTCTTCTGATGAAAAAGACAGTAAAAAGGGAAAGCATAATCCTTATATCCATACAGTGCTGCCAAATGAAGTAAATATACAAATACTTAGAAGTTGGTATGACTTTTCAAAAAGATGTTATTTGGAGGTCCATGGACTCAAAAATAAGCATGCCTCTTGTATTTGCTGAAGGTACGGCTTTAGAAATAACATAAAAATTTGCTAGTAGAAGTGTTTTTTTATACAGAATGTTTTTGATTATTCCTGTTGCAGTCTAAATTATTTTCTCATGTAAATTGGAGTGTCAATATGCAAGGAAGGTTCTGTGATTTACTACTTACAGACGGTAGGTCATTTTTCTTTCACTTTTCTTCTTTAACTGTGTTTGTCTCTGGGCATGAAAAATCCCTCACACCTTTTTGTCATCAAGCTGCAAGAACACTTGTAAGTATGGTTGAGAACAGGTGCTGCAGGTGGGTTTGTTTTGATTAAAAGAACTCTGTCATACACAAGGAAATTGGAAAAAGAAGTGTATGCAACTATACTAACAGGAAAAAAAAAAACCCAAAGGATCCATACAAGATTAGCAAAGACAGCACTGAGGGTTAGAGAAAACCCCCTGGGGGCAAAAGTATACTCATAGGTGATGTTTCATTTGGAAAGTGTGATCAGAAGAGGCCACCTAAGGCAGCCCCAGTTATGGGCATTTTGAAAGACTGACTGTCTTTAGGAGGGGCAAAGCTAGGAGTTGCAAAACCCCACTGGATAGGAGTTGCAAAAACCTACTGTTGCTGCTTTTTGAGCTATTTCAAATTACCTTCTGGTATTATCAGCCAATTCTTACCTTTGTAGCACACAGGGAATGAAGGGATGCTCTCAAAAAGAAGCTGTAGATCCTTTTTCTGTTGAATATCTGAGTAATGCAATGCCATTGTTTACCACTGTCTGCTAACTACTGCCAGCCCCTTAACATTTCAGAGAGCCTAAGGCATGTCTTAGGAAGAACATGAGCCAGCGTATTTTTGAAATGTCATGCATCACTTCTGTGCTTAAGTTGGAGTTCCAGGGAGTAAGCTTAAAATGATGAAATGAGAGTTATGTTCCTGTATCAAATAAGTCTCAGAATTTTGAGGATCCCCCATTAAAAATTGTAGTCAGATAAAGTTTCTAGATATTTAGATATACACCAGGTGTCTGTTTCATGATAGTTATTAAGATTTCATATGCATATAGTTTATATATTTTATTTAACAAGATTTTTGTGTCCTACCATATAGAAAATGAAGGAGAAAGTAATTTTCCTTCTTATCTTTTTGAAGTTTGCACACAGAAGGGGAGGTTAACTTTTTTTCTTTGTATCTGGTTGTTTTCTGTATTTCTGCCACTATCTTAGTTCATCCTTGGCTTAGGTACTGTTAAAGAAAATCAAGCTTTTTTAAACCACAGCTTTCTCAATAATCTGCTAACTACCACAGCCGTTTCTTTAATCTGATAGACTCTCTTATATAACAACTGTCCTTTCTGATCAAAAATGACATTCTTAACATCAATAAATTCTTAAGATTTTCTGACAGGAAATGTTTTCTGGGACATGCAATCAAATACAGAAAATGCTTGTCAATATTTTTTCTGAGAAATAAATCAAGAATCCTACCAAGATAACATAGTAAAAGATAATCTTCTCCTTGAGCTAGGATGCATTTCTGGTTTTTATTATTTGTTCTAATGAACAACAGTGTTTCTTCTCTGAAAATTTTATCATTATATGAACTTGTATTGTCTCTTAAAATGTTATGTTTTGCCTTCCATCTTCAGGCTTTAAAAATTTAAACCTTTTAATAGAGCTATTTCTCCTTGGGCTTCTGTAATATCAACCTTTTTCTATTATCTCATATAAATAAATCAATTAATACACTCCAGTTCACTTCTGATCCCTGCCCCTGCCCCAAGTAACTAAATAGAATAAAGTCAAGAATTGAAAGGCAAATTACCATTTATGTGTACATATGTTTCAAGACTGGATAAAAAGTGCTGGTTGACATGTTATTACTCATGTGACAATAGCTGTAAATTTTTATTTATGTAGTTAATTCCGCTACTTAGTCTGACTATAGACAGGTAAAATGAGAAAGAAACAATTTTGTTATACATGTAAATGGTTACATAATTTGTGAGTATACTCAGAACGTTATTTCTAGCTAAACTTGAAAATGCTTTAGAAACATCATTGGGTTTTACTATCTGAGGTGACCTCAACTAAATCCTCCAAATGCGTATGTCAGGCAAAGCTCTGACACACAAAGATTTAATGCACTGTCTCCAGAAATGGTACAGAATATTTGTACTTGGTTTGCCCTTAGTTTGCAGGAGCAGAGAGGTTTAAAAATTCTAAATCCTAGAAATTGGTCCAAGAAAGAGGCACGATAATGACTACAGTCTCCAGAAAAACAGAAGTGTTCAAGTTTAGAGTGGGTTTTTCCTCTTCCCCGAAAGCATTGACATTACTGTTAATGCCTGGAATCTAACAAAAAGAACTGATGCTGTCCTTGGTTCTCCCTTTGGTATTAGTGCTGAAAATTCTACAGCTGTAGCATTTTTCAGATTTTCACAGGCATTTTTAAAGATTATTATATCAATTGAAGAATTCACTGCCTTTGAATGTTTGAAAAGCAGTGCTAGGAAATTGAGTAATTACTTTGGCATATGTAATAAAGTATTCTCATGCTGTTTATATAAACATTTCTAATAAAAAATAATTTATGCTTACTATGTACCAATGTAATTGCCCCTTGTAGTATCATCTGCCAGTGTAAGAAAAGTTCAACTGTTCAGATATAGCCAAAGTCACAATAACTCACTTTTGTGTAAACAAATGGACTTATGTGAGGTAATGAATAGACAGTCAGAATCATAAGAAACAAGTACCTTCCTTGTGTTATTAGGATGAGAAGCTCTTGATTTTATTTTTCCTGGTGAAGAAGGTTGCTTTTTAAGTGCAAGGTTCATAGGGATACATTAGTTGGGAATTGAGATGTAACAGCTGTCTGCATCATGTGTGCTTCTGAGCATTTGCCCACTTGCAAGGCTCCATTCCTTTTTTTATTTATAGAATCCATCAAGCAGTTACTGAAGTAGAATTTTTGCATAGTTTAACAACCCCACTACTATTCTGATTGACATAGCTAGCTCTGGGGAATTAAAAGTGAGAAACGAAAAAAACCCTATTGTTATTGATTTACTACATAAGTAACGGATGAAGAGTGGTCAATGTCATCTGAAGTTTTAAAGCAAAAGTTTTGCACAGTATGGGTTAAGAAATTACTCAGATGCAGTGCTATAGACAGCTCTGACAAGAACTGGATATGCATTTAGTTATTGCATCCCATTCAGCAAAATACTAAGCAATTATGTAGACTGAAATCCAGTACTTAAAAATTCCAGAATTTAAAGCAGTGCAAGACCATAGTCTGGATTCATCACATCTTACCTCTTCAAGCAAATTCTACAAATTATTCTACAAATAAAATTCACAAATATTGCTAATTGTGTAAGTGTTATTGATCTAATGCAGAATAGATACAAGGCATCAGTTGCAAAAGTATTTTTGAGTGCTGTGATTTATTATTCTTCAGATGCCATTTGTTTTCTCATAAAATGGAGAAACTTTGTATATAAAACAAATTTGTGTGATTATGGTTGGAAGGAATGATTTTACATTTGAAGTTTTTATATTGAGTGGTGAACTGTTATCAATTCTATTTTGACACTGAGAAATTTCTGATGAGTAAGCTGGTATTTTAAAATTACTTTTTCTTTTAAATTCTTCCTTTTTTTCAAGAGAGCTAAAGCATGTGAGAAGTCCATTACAGTTGGACAGACAGTCATCACGAAACATAGGAATACACGATACTATAGTTGCAGAGTCATAGGAGTGACATCTCAACTTTTTTATGAAGTCATGTTTGATGATGGCTCTTTCAGTCTGGATACTTTTCCTGAAGACATTGTAGTAAGTACTTTCTCAGATACCTGTTCTTTCTGGGGTTTTTTGGTTGGTTGGTTTTGGGTTTTTGCTTGGTTGGGTTTGTTTGTTGTTTTTTAAATTAGAGAGTTGGAACCTCTTGAACTACTTCTTTTGACCTCAAGGAGATAACGTCTTCATATTTAGTTTATGTTTGTTACTTTTGCTGCTGAGAATGATTATTTTCTAATGGGCTTCCAAACTTCGGTAATTCTAATTAGTCTTTGCCATTTGACCAAATGAATAAAAAGTAATCTTAGAAAATCTTTTAATTAAATGAGAAATATGTATTTAATAAAGGATATGAGAGAGGGAATTCCATATAAACCATATATCCTTCTCTGTCTCTCAGAGATAACTTGTAAAAATTCCTTGCAGAATAGAGAGATCCTGCTGTAATGGGAAGGATAGCTCTCAAGAATCTGTTCTAGCAACTTGTTTACACCTTCTGATATTTCATTTGTGAGATTACATTATTAATGATAAAAATCATCAGGGAGAAGAATGTGTAGCTTATTGCGTTTCCAAAAAGCAATTGAGATTTTTATTTCCCTTATGCACTTACATAAAATACCATGTTTCTCAGAAGTGTTAAGGACCACATTGTTCACTTAGTTAGCACATATGAACAAAATTTGCAGACAATTAGGGAGAGATTCTGTTTCCTTCCACATTTGCACTGAATACATTGGATGTTAACCCTTGTGTTCATCAGGTGCTGCTTGACGTCTTTCTCACAATATCACTCTAATCCTTGTTTACCTTCATGCTCCCGTGTCTTTTTTGTGGTGAACTGATATTTTTGGTGTACCTCCTGCTAATAATCACTAAAAGTTAGAGCCTTCAATGAACACTGGTATGCAAAAGTGCTGGCCAAAAGTGCCAGGCCACTTTTCACTTAGCCCTGCGTCCTGTTCTGTATGTAGAGGAGGAGAGTCCGGCATACGCAGCAGTGCAAAAGAATATACACTTTGCAGCTCAAGGGACACAGCCCCTAGAAGTACTCCATATTCTTCTCCTGTGAAAGTCTTCAGGCTGTTCTGTTTTCTGCAGGCCTAATGTTTTCCTGGAAGTAGCGTTAGCTGACAGTTAGATCAGTGGAAATCATACTGTTGTTCTTAGTTATAGAAAAGTCTGATGCTCTTTGAAAATACGGTATTTGAAAGGGTATGTTTCAGAGCAGTGTATGGGGATTGAGCTGTTTACTTCCCACTGGTCTGAATAGAAGAGAGTCAGCAAATCCCTCTTACATGTCTTTGAAAATTTATCCTTTAATTCAAAACACTCTGAAAGGCTCCATTAATGATCAAAGACATTCTGATTTAGGATGATCAAGATATTAAGCAAATGTGGCTGTATTGTTATCAGAAACCCCTCTTTTGTGTATGTCTGCATCAAGGATCTGGTAAGGCAGAGTTGAGAAATTGCTTGCCACCCTAGTGGGGTAGTCTGATCTGGAGCTAAGAATAAATGTAATCAGGTCTGGGTATGCTTCAGTGCTTCTCTGATAGTGGATGAACAACTTATAATTGTTTGATGGAAACACCAAATGAATTTCACATTCCTTAGAGAAATCTTGTTGTGTTTTCATTAGATAATATACCTGCAGCAGTTACTGGAAGGGGAAAAAAATGTTTTTTCTTCTGCCTGGACTAAAACTTGCTAATCCATGCAATGTGCGTATCAGGTGTTAGTGCCGCTGGGAGGACTTATTCATCAAATCTGGTGTGAAAGCAATGTTGTTGCCTATTGAAGAACTTATTTTTCTAATCTGTTTTCACTTTTCAACTAGCTCACAAAGGTAGCAGGAACTTTCTGCTTTTCCAGCATGCGATGAATCCACTACATCATTTCAGCTCAGCTCACAATAGACCACAATTCCAGTGTTCACACACAGTGATTTATTTTTAAGAGGGAAAATAGGGAGCAAGGAAATTTCAGTCTCGAAGCTTCGTGAAACTCTGTTTGCGTGTAAGCATTCAGTAACTACCAAAGCAGGGTATCCATTTTTCTCTTCTCATACGTATTTTTCTGTTAGGATTTGCTAAATATATGGGGTGTTTTTTTCTAAGTGTATGTGCTATGTATAGGCGTAGCTATATAGATTTCTTTATTGCAAGCTATTGCTTGAGAACTATACCTGATTTCTACCTTGTCAGAATATCTTAGAATAATCACTCCTCCATTACGATATTTAGAACAATTAGATAGCTTGTTGATGGGCTGACCAGTCAGCATCACCTCAACCCAGCAGGTGTAAGACGGTGCAAAGAAATATATGGGTACAATTTTTTCTGGAGGAAAAAGCGGTACAACTTCCTCTGCAAGTCATGGAAAGACTGCAGTGAGGGGGATAGTACGTGATATCTTAAAGGAGGTGAGATGACAGCTTTAGCAGTTACTTTAGTGATGCAGGCACACAAGTGGGGAGCGCATGTGCTGCAGTCCTGAGTAACTGCTACCAACAGACAGCATGTATGTGCACTACTTACCACTTCTTGAAGGATTAATGTCCTGTGGCTTGTCACGCGGCCCCTAGCTCAGCACCAGGAGGAGTGCTGTCCTGGCCAACAGGCCTGATGTCAGTTTACAGCTTACGCATCAGGAAAGGTCTCAGTTCTTTAGCCTGCTCATTTAGGGTGGGTGTCTGTCTCTATATGGGTGGGTGTTTGTCTATATATTGTGGCTGTCAATAATGCCTTAACGGCAAGTATAATTAAAATATATATACATATACATGTAACCTGAAATTAGAGCTAAGGATGAAGTTATTCCCACATTACTTTACTAAAATCCCAGCTAAACAGGGGTGTCTTGCAGTGTACTTTGTCAGAGGGAGAAGGGTCTCTCCAAATTATATTGATTGCAAGGAAGAGAGGAATTAAAAAAAATAATTGCGGAGTCAAGCATGCTTTGAGTCTGTGGGGAGGTCTGATTACAGGACAGCTGAGCACACGTCCCCTGAAATGGCAGACATCCTTCCAGGCCACTTGCCCCAGTAAATGCCCTGGTCCTCCAGTGACCAGTTTACACAGAATTCTTTGCTGTTGTGGTTTCACCTTACGGTTATCAAGCAAACTAGGTGAACAAAAATAAGTGTACTTACTCTTACTGCCATGACATACCCACACTGTGTTTTAGTTTACTATTAAGTGTATAAATATAGGTGTTCTCCATTGAGAAGATAAAGCTGATCTGTGGGTTGTCATGCCCACAACCTAAAATGGACTTCAGTTATTAGAAACTATAAATTGAATACCATCCTAAGTGGTATTATAGCTTATGGAATGCTGCTGTAAATGTTCCTTACAAGCAAGAGCATCTTCGGAGTTAAGGAAGTGAGATGTGTTTGGAAGGACACTTGGATAATATATTCAGGAGTTCATGAGTTTGTTTTGCAGAACCACATTATGGTAATTTTCCAAGGTCCCAGTAAAATCCAGAAAGCATACTTTTGAAAACAATTGTATATTAGTTCAGGTTAAGACATTCAGACTGCAGCTGTCAAAAGGAGGAACAAGAAATTATTTTTGCATGTGACAAGTTGGTCCATCCAACATCTTGCTTGATTTTTTTTTCTCTACCACTTTTTTTGAATTCAAGCATGAAAAAAAACTTACCAAGCAGTGGGGCTGGCACAATAAAATTTGGGTTTCTTTTCCTGGTTAGATAGATTTGTAAAAATTCTGTAGGATTTGGCATTCTTGTTCTGTGAAATACTCCAAGAAGTTAAATATGTATATGTGTTTTGAAGAATTACTTCAACTTTGTGTGAAGTGAGAAATTAATTTTAACACATTTTTGTAACAGTGAACTTTTGCACTGGATTTGCAAGCGCTGATACACGGAATGTTATGCTTTGCCCATGCAAATAATTGTTTGCATTTTCTGAATAGTAATACAAATTAATTCCTGTTTTTAAAACTGTGGTCTTAAGTTAAAATCAAACTTTTTCAAAAGACAAGACAAAGTTCTAAAGCTTCAGAGTGGAGGTTTTTATTCCATCTTTTAACTCTTGAATCTGCAAAACTTCAAAATCAAAAGATGCAATAGTCTGATTCTAATCTGAAACTTGCTGTACAGTACTATAACCATATTGATTTAAGTGAGTTACTTTTACTTTACCCCATTATGGAGAACAGAAGTGATTTTTCTGTGTCTCTGGCTTTTTCTTTTTTCCTGTTACAGTAGAAGGACAGGCAACTTAATAGATAAGCATAAAAAAAAGAATGTAGGATAGATTAAAGGCAAATTAAAGGTTCAAATGTAAGTATTATCTATACATGGGTTTCTGTGTATAATGTCCTTTCCACTTTATAATAGAATGCTTTATGGATCCTTATCATTAATGATTTTAGAATAGTTGAAGGTAATGCTGCCACAGCTCAGCAGGATAAACAAAATGGAAGATAATCCATTACTTTGCAGTTTGTGATATGACGGCTGACTTTGCGGTAAAACAAGTGAGCGAAAGAAGGTGTTTGCAAAATGAGTGTGTGTCTATGTGTGGGACCACAGTGAGTACAGCTGTGGTGAGCATGTGGAGGGCAGTGAAATCCCTGGAATCACACAGGAACCATCACCTGAGGTGGGACTGCTGGGAGTGGGAGAGAAGCATGTTTTCCCCTCCCACCTTTTTTCTGAGATAACCTAGTGTGAGTGACTGAAAGAGTTAATGTATGTTTATGTCTCAAACATTGTTGCAAAACAAATTCCACCCAGCAACCAGAAGATGGCTAACACAGGACATGAAGGGTGTGCCGGAGGGTGCACAGTTCCGTGTTCTTATGGGCTCAGCATGCCATATATGACCAGAGGTCACACAGGTTTAGTTTTGAGGAAGGGGCTTATGGACTGCACAAAAGACTCCTTGCAACCACCCCCCAGTGGCACCTGCAGAGAAGATTGAGAGTTATGTCAGTCCTCGAGGGGCATGACTGGTGCGATCAAGAGGTGGGAATTAGACTATAAAAGGTGCAATTCCAAGG